CGTGCCTAAGAGGATTTCCAAACTCGCCCGAATCGGCGAAACCGATGTTTTTCGCGCCAACTCGAACGATTCGACTATTCCATGCCGGTGCCAACTTTTCTGAATACACATCGACAGAATGCCACGGGAATTTCACCGAGGACGCGGCTTTCTCTGCGCGGTTTCATTGTGCCAGGCGACATTTTCATTAAAAAATGCGAATTCCTATTCGAGGATTCCTCAAACGTACGCGGAAATTCGATATTGGAAGATACCAGATGAGGTAAACAATGCGGCCCGATTCGACCATTCGAGCAATGCCAGAACCAGAAAGCTTGAGGCACGTGTGATGGAATTATTGTTTTTATTACGAAGTGTTTCCATTGTGCAAATACAGTCAGTCCTCTAAATACTCGTAATCTCTATATACAGCTTGAATTTTATTTCAATCTATAGTCTGAGAGTATCGTTAATTTCCTCGACTCCTTGTATTACTGTGAGAGGAATACTAATTTGATATTTCCTAACATAAAAGTTGTGAACCACTGAAAATTGTATACCAAAAATATAAATTATTACGTACAAATGTAATTCATCTCTTTGCTCTTTCATTGAAAACTACTATTAATTATAGAAAACGTTATAATAGTTTCTTTCCCAACAAAACCAGATTAAAAAGAGACGCGAAACTGCTCCGAAACCGAATTGCTAATTTAAAACTCCAACTGCAGTTACTAGAGGCATCAATGAAAACTAACCTACAGGAAACTCACTGGTGGGTCAATCAGAAACAATTAAAAATTACCTGATGGTATCTTTTTTTCACGTTTATTAAATAATCTAAGCTTTTAGAAAGTCTTCGTCCACGTGTTGCGCATGTATAGTCACGCCACTGTACGGATGTAATCAAAACAACCTTGAATCCAACATTGGCCAAAATTCTTATCTAGCTAAAAATCTTGAACAACGAATCAAAGATAAACCACTTCTTATCGGGTATCAGATAAATACCAATTAGAAAAAATTCAATTAAGAAATTACACATTTCGCAACGAAGAAATAAAAATGTAATCGTTAAATTGATTAAATTATTACACATCGCCTTTGGTCGTTACATATTTTTCATTCGAATGAAATTATCTTCATGTGTAACATAGACAACGATAGATCCTCGAGGAGCAATGTTTACATTACACGTTCGAGAAATCCTCAGATGAAAATTTTCAAACGTCTCGTTTAAAAATTTAAATGTATCCACCATTGAACAGCCGCGAGAATTAACTGACAATGAAATCGGGTAAGAAATCACGGACAGGAGAGGATGACGTTACAGAAAAATACAGTGGAGGCGAAGGTGAGCGACAGAAAAAACGAAACGGAACGACGAACGCGAACCGGACCTAGCATCGCGCGCTAACTAACGTAACGTCCAAAATAAATAACACGATTCGGAAGGAGACCCGCTCCAACCAGTCGAGGCGTTCGACGTTCTCGGAAATTACCGATTCACGGCGTCTCCGAGGCACACAAAAGATCCACAACTACACTGTAAGTAGGAACGTTTGCGTCAAAGCACTTCTGTCAATGTCACTTCCGTCTGGACATTTAACTCTTGACACGAGATTCAAACGACAGCATTTGTGTCATTGAATGGTCGCAATTATTTCGATCGTTAACTAATAAACCGGTAGCTCGACAACCCTGTGATTGTTTCGTGTAACAACTCTCCACAGTGAAGCATTATAGTTCGAAGGACCAAGATAAACGAATGAATTTTGACGACAGAAAGTACCAACTGTATTTACCATTGCTCTTAGTCTATCTCGCCTCGATTTACGGAGTTATTTTGAACGTTGATATTCGGTATTTGATTCTCGCGGCGTTCGGATTCGGGTCGGAACGAAAGTGTATATATGTACGTAAACGAGACGCCTTCCAGTTCGGAGTCTGCGCGACAAAAACTCACCTCGAGTGAGCGCGACGACACGCGCGCTTCCCGCGCACGGAAACGCGCGTCACCTTTTGCTTCACGATCCGTGGACAACACACGGCCGAGAAAACACGCGCGAACCGACCGTGATTACGCGAAACGGGAAAGGAAGGAAGAGAGACAAGAGTGAACGCACAACTGACAACACAACGTGCCTTACCTCGCGAGCGGCCGCCGCGACACTGAACGCCGCGGACACCTGTCGCCGCTGAGGCGACTGTGGCGCCCCCACGTGGTCAACCCCCTCCCTACACTGTCTCGTGTATAAAGTGCACCCCGGAACTCGGAAGCATTGGACCGGATGTGAGCAGAAACATTTGTAGATTAGACATGTCCTTCTAATTATTATCTTAACGAACGTTTAGATTAACCCATTTGTCTTGTGCGCGTACTGTAACGCGTGTATGCTGCGATAATTGAAATGTAGATTTATGGATTGACCATTTAAAGTGCTATCATGTTGCGAAGAATAATTGGATTATATCTTTAATGTATAATGAGAAAAAAAGAATTCTTTAATTGTGCCGTCATTTCATACCGCTCTTATTTTCCATATGTTTTCGAGCATTTTCATTTAAATGCAAATAGGAAATATTTTGATGACAAGAATGAATTTTCACTTTCTTTACGTAATAACGGCGAGATTCAGTGTTTACACTCTCATAAATCACGACTTTTGAAGGGTATGCATTGACAGACCGAATGTAACGAGCATTGAACATTAAACATACGTAATGTGCAAGCTTTGGATATAAATCCTTATATAATTAGGGATTTCTTTCTGGTTTGAACTATAGACCTATTCAAAGCACAGTGACGTTTAAGTAGAGATTGTGTCCGCATTAGGAAATATTTCTGACGTTACGCAAGGAATGCATTAGGCTATCAATACCTATGACAGTATTAATGCCCGGAACTAAAGGACACTAATTAATGGACTGACTATGAGTTACAGTAATGTTCCAGATAGTGAAGCTCGTTTCAATGAATTGTACGAATAAAAGAGAAAGTGATTAAAAATCTTCGTGAATAATCATTTACAAAATCAATATTGTTACCATCACTTCAACAAGAACTCTCCAGACAACCCAATAATTATAAATTGTTGCTTACAACGGTAACTACTACCCACAATTTATTATAACAAACTATGATCTTGACAAACCAATCGAAAGAAAACTAGGAAACGTTCCGTCGCTACAATGTCAGTCACTCGTGGACATGTTTAATTTGTGACCCAAATTCAGCAAGAGAACTCTCGGGCAGGTATTACGGTTGGAAAAGAATTAGAACCGCGCAGTTTCCACAACGACCTCTCGAATAAACGTCACAAACAGGCGTCCTCGTGAGGTCCCTTGTTTCGCGGTCAACCAAAAACCAACAAATATCGTCGACGAACAAGCTTTATCTGGCCAGTCGAAACGACCCCTTTCCCAGGTCCCCGTTCGAGGTTACCTTTGGCATTTCAACCGTGTCCTTTTTTTGATTTTCCGCAAGATAGCGAAGGCCCTTGGCCAGGGGAGCACGGCCGGCGATTCGCTGGCGCGTCGTTTTCGAGGGAGATTTCGAGGACCGTCGCGCGAGGACCCGGAGGAGCCAAATGAAACGGCAGGGATGGTAATTGTGCGGTGAAAAAATAATCAGCTGGCGCAGCACGTAGAGCGTAACCGTAAGTGCGGCTGTGCTCATTGTTGTCGCGGTACTACGAGACCCTACGAGGGTGACAAGCTCACAAAAGGGGCTGCTGGACCCATAGAAACGTGATGGAAGGCGCCGTGTGCGGGAGGGTGCCACCGCAGCGATAAAATTCTATAGTATGTCGGGGAAATATGTGTGACTCGACGACCGAGGACGACGGAGGGACAAAGGATTTACTCTCCAACCAAGTCAATTCTCTTTTCCTAAATTATTTCGAAATTAATTCCACTTCGAGGGAAGAAAAAGTACTTATGTATGTCTATAACTAAATATTGGATTGAGAATGCCTGATAATTATTTATGTACTTGTTACGCACCGATGGAGAACAGAAATTTAAATTAATGTTTTGGCTTTTAAATTTTGCAACGTGTGATTCATGTCACGTCAAATTCTATTCCTGGTTATACCTAAAAGAATTATGAATTATGAAATGAGTTACAGATTTTGAGATTAACTGAATACTTTTCTGTTCCCTCACGAAACTCGAGTTGCCAATTCCAAAAGAATTCCGCGAACGAAACGCGCGCGAAAAATCTACGCAGAATTCCCTCCGACGGTAATTGGAAATTCGGTCCGCTCCCACGCGAGTGAAAAGAAAAAAACGTTGCTAGAGAAGGGGAAGTGACTCCAGAAGACCCCTTTGTTGGTAGCACTTTGCGTGCAAAACGGAAAAAAGAAAAGGGAGTCTGGAGCAATGGGAGGGTCTCTTTGGCACATCCCTCATGAGAAACAATAATGTCGCGCGCACTACCACTCCTCCTGACGTCGTCTACCCACCCTCTCCACGTCTTTGTTCGTCTGGCTCTTTTTTCGAGTAGGCGTCCTCCTATCCACGGTCACCTACACAGCTTTCCTCCAGTTACTAATCGTGAAAAGAATCGCACGCGAATAACGAACGCGAAAAAATCGCGCAGCTGGAAAGTAACGGGGGGAAACTAAAGGAGCGCGAGCTTTGTCGCGTGTTCCGCGCTCGCAGTGTCTCCTACCCCTCTAGCGTGGACCTTCGAATAGAGTAATGAAAATATGACGCTACAGATTCTTGAAGAGGGAAGAGTTGAAATAACGCAAGAAGCGAAGAAAACTACATTAATTCGTATAAGGATTTTTAGCTTGGAACTTGTCAAAGATGGAAAGAGTCCCTAGCCTATTATCGTTTGAAGATCTTCATAGCTGGTTAGAGGTTCACGATATATTTCAAGAACCCAGCTTTTTAAAAATTAAATAGTGTTATTTGTTATAAATTTGTTTGCTGCGTGGAAAATAGGGTACGCGAACACTCTAGATGCAAAATACACAATCGTTTCTAATTTAAAATTCCTTGTGCAAACTTACCGGAATGTAGCCGTCGGGTTGTGGTCTCTCGTTGTCCCTGAAGAAAATGTTTGAAATTACGATTGGTCATCGACGAATTTTAGGATTCTCGCGATCGCTAATCGAAACATACCGATGTCGTCGTTGGATCACTGGCGTCTGCGGCGTGCTGTCGTGGATGATCACTTGGGAGGCGTCGATTTCTTCGCATTCTGAGCTCTCCTCCGAGGAATCTGTAAGAAGAATAAGACAGGACCAATGAAAAGAATTATCATTATTATTATACAGGGTGTTCGGTAACTAGTGGTACAAGCGAAAATGGGGTGATTTTATATGAAAAAATAAGTCGAAAATGTAGAATAAATGTCATGATGAAATTTCATTCCGAATCTGTTAGAAGCTAGTGCTTCTATTTAATTTGATATAATGCTCTAAGAGGAGGTGCTGTTTCTAACTTAATTATGAGAAAAATCCGTCATTTGTTGTTTAATTTGCTGCATATTAAAGCTTGTTTCACGATGCATAGCAATTAAGATGTAAAAAGAATTTGGAAAATATAAACCAGAAAAAGGAAATAATTATGATAAAAACTTAATTTCATTCTGTGCTTTTAATATCGCCTAATCAACAATTGTGAATGATACGACTACCCACATATTTTATCGTGTAGAGCAAACACTAAAACTTCGAATTTTCTTCATTACAATCACTATCCAAACATTTAGAGTCAATGTGGTGACCAGATGACGGATCTCAGTTATCAAGGAGTTTAATCAGATGACAGTTTTCACATGAGAGGTCTACATAAGGTAAAATAAGCTACCACACAGCCTGTTCCTGCTATCAGCTACTGCGATCTACTTTCAAATCAGTAACGAAGCGAATATGTTCAACGTTAGAAAAGACCTACGCCAGCGATAATCAAAGACGTCGTAACAATGGCAGCCGAGCAAACGAAGCGCGTGAATTCCAGATGTCCCGACATTCATCACGGTTAATTGAATTCAACGGGCGTCGAAGCGATTACAAGCCACCCGTCGTTATGGTTCGTTATTTCCCAGGTGTCTGGTAACCTAAATTTCCTTTCATCAGGAGAATCGCAATCACCAAAATCTGTTCGTACGAACTGCCGCCCTAATCCTATCAGCACCCCGTCGCGTTGGTGTGTATGCGTATGCCCACGATTCAACGCCCGTCCATCGAGCATACCGCAATTCCCGAGGAAGGAAGGAGCCCTATTGATTCTCTTCAAAGGGACACTGTCCTCTCGTTAACGGGCCACGGCTACGAACCATTCCGAACTCGACACTGACCGTACCCGATACAGCTGGTAATTCGACAACGGCCACGAATGACCACGTGGTCGATTGCGAATCGCGTTAAATTTGTTCTCGACTCACCCTCGTCGATACGCTTGCGTTCACGGAAACGCGACAAGACGGGACTGGGGCAGAGGCTGGACGTGTCGCCCAGCAGGTCGTCGATGTTGGTGTGCTCGCCGATGAACAACGGTAACGTGGAGGGACGTTTCCTTGGCGACGATCTTCGGGGTGATGGTTCCACGTTGTCGTATGGCGACTCTCGACCTCCGTAATTGTCTGGCGGGTCCGGAGGATTTTCCACCTGGAACGTTCGTACGTTTTCTTGTAACCGATCGGATTGCGATGTGAACGACAAGTGTCTTTTATTTGTTCTGGATCTGTGTGTTCCGGTGAACAGTGTTATTTTATGGGTTATTTTGTGTATTTTTGGTTGTCGAGAATTGGCTACCAAAGTTGGCTGCCGAAGTTAATTATTAATATCGAGCGACTAATTGACGAAGTGACTTGTACCTTCAAATGTAAATTTTCAGTATAGAATTCAGGTTGGAGTCGACTGTTCTATTTAAATTCAACATTTCAAGTTTCAACCCTCCGCAGGCTATCTTCAGCAGCTATATGTTCAAATTAAAGTCCAATTAAATTTTAACGTTGACGTATAGTAATAAACTCCTGCTGAAAATGCTCTGCACAACATTCACATTTTATCCTAAATTCTTTACCAGAAAACATTCAATCGAATCTTGTCAACCATTATCGTCCAAAAACAAATACACTCGAATTCCTCTTATATAATCCACGTACCCGATAATAACCGATAAGGAATCGAATAATCCGATAACAGCCGACCTCATAACCCATTCACTGTCAACTACTAGATATCTTTGTAGTTCAAATTGATTGCAATCACTCCACGAAGCTACACAAATTATTGCAAAAGAAGATCGTAAATTTTCTTTTCAAAGCAACAAATTTAAGATCGCTTTCTTTTTTACATTATTTAAGGTCACATCAACTACGAGGTTTGTTAGCGATCATGGCAATTTTCAATCTTGATAACGTCTTTTGCAGCCTTCTAAAATATCGCAGTTAGTTAGTTCTTTATTTTCCTCAGACTAGTACATGGGTGTGTGTCTGAAGATGGCGTTCGAGGTGTGTATACTCCCTCCTCTTGCCCAAACGAAAATGTAATCACTTTAAAATATCACATTTTATTATCAAAATAACAACCTAGATTACCCATCTGCATTAAATCTTGGCGCCCAATGCAAAAACGCGTTAAACTTGCCTGACAGTGAATGGGTTAACGACTAAATTTCTTAATCAAGATGCGTGAACTCAATTCCATCATCGTCTTTGTTTCCGCCGCACGCCGCGGCATGCACGCGACTTAGCAGATTTATCGCGCACGCGTATTATCAGATAGAGGCGTCACCTCGTCAGTTAGGAACGGTTAAATGAATAATGCGCGATATATGATCACTTTACCCCTTCGGGACTGGCGCGATCCCCGAGAGGCTCGTCGGGTGGAGGAGGCGGAAACTCGATAGGGAATCTCGAGAGGCTTCTCTTGGCGTATATCTCAGGTTCAGGGTTAACGCCAATATCGATTCTCTCGAACGACTCGGAGGAGTCGGATGCGCTGTTCGAAGTTTCCACGGGAATCTTGACGACGCCTTCAGGAACGTTCGACGAGCTGTCCATCCACCATGCTTTCTCGCCGGACTCGATGTGCCTAATTTTATTGATAGCCCTCCCGTATGTCTGGCTATCATCGACCTCGTCTTTGTGATTCTTGGAGTTCTGGCTACTGCTCGAGGTCATGGGAATCACTTCTATTCCTTCGGGCACGTTCTCAGAGTCGTCGCTCATCCACCATGCCCGTTCGCCTGATTGCTGGTGCCTGATGCGACTCCTTCTCTCACTGGATCGTGTACTGCAACGACTGGAGCCTCGTCTCGACAACGGAGACGCCGTGGCGGATTGTTTCTTCGGTTCCTCCGATGGGACGGTGTCGTTCGCGTCCAACCACCAAGCCCTCTCCCCGGACTCCTGCCGCCACAGAGTCGAGCGCGATGATTTTTTCGATTCCTCCGAGGGAACGCTGTCGTTTCCGTCCAGCCAACGACCCCTGTCCCCAGAGTCGTGCCTCGAAACTGCTGAAGACGACTGTTTTTTGGTGTCGTCCGATGGAAAGCTATCCATGGAGTCTAACCACCACCCTTTCTCCCCCGATTCCTGCCTCGGGATGGTCGAGCATTGCTTCCTGGTATCCTCAGAGGCTGCGCTGTCCACCGAGTCCAGCCACCAGGCTCGTTCGCCTGATTCTTGTCTCCACATTCTGTATTTGTATTTTCCTGGAATCATACAATTAAGAGAGTTGGTGATTGTGATGTCTGTGAGGTCAGAGAGGTAAACTTAATCGTCAAACAGAGCGCTTTAAAAGGCTGTGACACTTGCAATTCAATCAATCGTAAAAATAATCCAATGTTGCATTGACAGTGATGGTCATCATTCTGAACGGCTATATCTCGTAAGTACAAGGCAAACCAAATACAATCAAAGTTAATAAAGAAACTTCATACAACATTTCTTTCTTATTTTCACTTGCAAATCATGCTTGTACAATCTTCCCGAAAAAGTAGGAAACACCTTGCATATTAAAAAATATATGTTGTGCTGAAAACCTATCATTTGACCGGTCGCGGTAAAAATAAGGTATACGTCAAGTGTCGGTAGTAACAGTGTTAATAAAAGACCGTAACGTCATGTGCCTAGTCTAGTCTCTAATTATTTCTAATACGATTCAGAGGTTCCTAAACGATACCCCAAACCTACATACCTAACTCTCTGAGAGATACCTTGACTATAGACAGTGTCCTAAATCCAACGAAATAAACACCGACTCACCATCGTCAGGCAAGGTACCACTGACGGTCGTTTCCTGACTGATATCGTCGTTACACACGCTTCTGGCTTCGACACCTTCAGGAACGTTGTCGGAGTTCGGATCCATCCACCAAGGCTGTTCACCGGAATAATCGCGTCTGATCCTAGCGCAACTTTGCCTCCTGTCATCCGTCTTTTCCGAGTTCGCGGCACTGCAACTCTTCAAGTGACTCTTGGACGAGGACGCAACGTTGTGCTCCGACCTCTCCTCGCTGGAGTCCAGCCATCCCGACTTGCAGGATTCGCCAGAATCCTGACGCTTGCTCTTGAAAAGATTCGTCACTGGCGCGAGGGCCCTCGTCAAGAACGATTTAGCCTCCTCCGTTTTCCCTGAACGATCGCTCTTCGACCTTGGACTGGACGGTGGTCTAGGTGGTTTGTCCATGGTCAGGGACATCTCGTCGGCGGACGACGCTAAGATGCTGGTCCTGGAGGAACCCGCGCTTATCTTCCCTCTTTTTTCTCTGAACGAAGACTCGGATGTTCGTCTCTTTCTGCGTCTGGACCCGGGCCTCGCCTGCTCCTCATCCTCTTCGCTGCTCGAAGAGCTCGAGGAATTGGATTCGGTGTCGCTTGAGCTCGAGGTCTCCACCTCCTTGACCCTTTTCCCAGAGGGCGATTTCGAGCAGCTCCTCGATTTTTCGTACCTCAGCGAGCCGCTTGAGTCGCTCTTGTTGATCGTCGTCTTCGACACACTGGACGGTATCCTCAGCCTGGATCTGCTCGACTTCGCGGAACTGGAGGAGCCAGACTGAACAGCCTGATGAATCGGTTCGGAGTTCGGTTCGGATTGCGAATCTTGAGAGCTGACGGACATGCTACGTTGGCTCTTCTTCTTCCTGCTGTACTTGGATTGAGCGGGATCGCCGTTCTCCATGTTCAGCGTCGACTTACGGAAATCCTTGTTGACGTACTTCACTGGTATGATGCACTTGGACGCGGACACCGACGTTACATCGCTCTTCGGCACAGGTGGTTTGCCACGAGCGTCCGGTGAACCGCCTTGCCTCAGATTCACTGACGACGCGCTCGAACCGACGGACGTCTTCCCCGGCGATGGCGGCGGCGTCGTCTTTATTTTTGAACCCTGACTCGTCACCGAACTGGCTGACGACGATTTCGATCTGCCAATTGGCACATTTACAGCGGATCCGTCTGACGAGTCGGCCCGCGTCATTTGACGGGGCAGATTCTTCGAGGACCCACTGCGCGACTGCGGCGGCGTCGATCGACTCTGCGGTGATTGACTGTTTGGGCAGAAAAGTGGAGAATGTGAGCAAACTTTACAGTACGGACGGGAGAAATCTTAGCAATAGGAGGAGAGGGGGTTAGGTTTGTTTGTGGCAGAGTTTTTAAATGAGCCGTGCACTGCACAAATCGATTTACTTTGAGTAACATCAAAATTGTAGCATTAGAGACGATTATTTTTTGGCTATTCTTTCTTATTAATTTTATATACCGTTAGATGAAAGCTACATCTGTATGTATACATTCTATAATATTTATTTGAATTTATATTATAAATAAAATTTTAAGAAACAACGTACATTATTTTTGTTTTATGGAGTTAATCGATTTGTGCAATGAACGGCTCAAACGTGGAATTGCAAACGAAAATGTTTGTAATATTTAGTTAGAATGTTTAAAGGACGATGAGATTGTTCTGTGAACCTTTGACTCTCGGTGAACTTGTTATGATTGAGCTTAATGGTATTGATTTCATGTTTGCCTTGTCGTTAAAAAATTACTAAGAATTGGAATGTTTGTTGGCAAGATAGATAGAGAAGAGAGGCACAGAAGGTATAAACAAGAGAAAGGTGAACAACCCAATGCAGTAATGTGATTAATAGACTGCGATATACAGAGCTTTTCAAACATTTTTCAGAGAGAAGTATTTTGAAAAACAGGAAGAATTTAAAGCAGAGATGTTAAAGAAGCACCAGATGCTCTCGAGAGAAGACAGCCTCCATTCCAACTTTCGAGTAAGACATCGAAAGAAATAGAAAAATCGAGGATGTGAGAAGGAAATCATCTTGCCCCGAAACCGAAAACCTACCTGTGAAGAGACTCTTTTCCAGAAGAAGTGTTATCGCGCTTCGGGGAGCCAATAGCCTCGCTCCTTTCTTGACAATATCCCTCAACTATTCTCGAGGATTCGACGAGTCTTGGCAAGGAGCTGGCGTCGGAGTTGGGCGTCGAACCCCTCCTTTCTCGCAGTCCGTCGGACTTTGTCGAGGAACCCGACGAGGACTTGACTACCCTAACTTCGCTCTTCGTCGAACCACGGCCCAGCCTCGGTATAGACGGTCTTCTTTGATTGCAGCCCTCGTTTCTGGACGTGGAACTTTCCCTGCTGGTCGCCGTTTCCTCGCTCTTGGAAATACTTTCTCGCGAGTCTGGCGACTTGGCGATAATGGCCGCTCGCTGCGGCGAGTCCTCCCTTTTCACCACCGAGTCGTTGTTGAACGTCTTGGAACTACCGAATCGATCGGTTTTCGTTTCGCTCTTCCCGCCGGGACGCGACCCGGCCTCGCCACTTTGCAATTTAACGTCCGTCTGATCTCTCCCCGAGTTCTCGTGCCCGTTCGCGGACGTCTTCGAAGTTGTATCCGCTTTCGCGTGCGGCGAGTCGGCGGCGTTCCTCGGGAAGCCCAGACCACCGAAAGCTTTGGTATTCTGTTCGTTTTGGTTTCTGTTGGAGTGAATTTCTTGACTAGAACTGGGCGACACCTTCGAGACGGACTCGTTCCTCGAAGCTGCCGCGTTGTCGTTCGACCTGCCGTACGCAAAACTGTTCACCCTGGAGTTCGTCGGGTTACCATTATTGAACCCACGATTGTAAACTGGGGCACTGTTAGAATTCGACGAGAATTTGTCGAGGTAGGACGACCAAGGCGATCCCGAGATCCTTCCGCCCCCGGCGTACCGTGAGAACCTCGAGGTGTCCTCCACCCTGTCGCACTGAGTCTCTTGGTCCTTCGTTTCCGTTTTCCTCCGAGCTCGAGTGACTTCCTTTTGATGAGTTATGCCTATGTCGGCCCTCCTGCTTCTGACGAAGGACGAAGAAGCCGGGGGGCTGGGTGACGTGCCTCTGGTAACCATGGTCAACGTTACGGTGTCGTTATCTTGAAGTCTACTATCGGCTTCGTGGTCTTCCGGCTTGGCGGAGCCTGTGGGTTCTTGGCTAGAATCCTTTTCCGACTTGGTCTTTGGGACGTCTTCGTTCTTCGAGCTCGCTGTCAAGGGCTTACTACCTGAAGTTCGGAACCTGTCCGATCCGGAGTAGCTTATGGCAGCGGGAACTCGGTCGTTGCTGCTTCTCGACGAGAGGAACCTGGAGCTACTTGTCGAGCCGTACCTGGAGGAGAGCGGCGCTGAGCTCGACTCGGAAGCACCTGTCGATATATTTGTTATTATTGTTGAGTTTATGGACCAAGGGGTTTCTATACATGGTATGTTTCTTCGAGTCTGGTTAATTATGTTTCGCGTGAGTTGTGGTTTTACGAATGGTTGTACGAATTGCCTGGTCTACAGGTTGAGTCTCTGTTTGACAAGAGAATTGTATTTATAAATGAATCGCGAGTTTCATTCATTTATGATTAATGCAAACGCTGACAAGAAACATGTAAAGCTAACATTTTCAGAACTTGATGTAAATTAATGTGACATGTATTTTACTTTAATTACGAATATATATTCTACATGAAAATTCATTACCTACAATTTTTTAATTTTAACCATTCATACTCGAATGTCACCTTTGAGGAAACGTAAATACTTTGTTTCGTGATCATACATACTAAATTTATGCAAAAAAAAACTGATGAAAATTTCCTTGAAACTAATACAAAGAATAGAGTATCTACTTCTTTATCGAAACCCAAGCATCATTGACGAATAGATAAGAATTTTCAATCTCGACTTTCATCCAAAGAAAAAGAAATGAATGAATCGGCCGATATAGCAATTTCTTTATTCGAATATCAATAGAAATGGCACTCACTGGAAGTGGCTCCGGATCGACCGTAGGAGGACGCTCTCGAGTAGACCCTGAAGGGGTTCGATTTCCCGACGCTGACTTCCGGGCTAGGCTCGCGGGAACTCCTTCCCGAGTTTGGACGTAATCCCCGGTACGAAACCGGCGGATGATCGCTTCTCTCTTTCTTCTCGATTCTACTTTCGTTTCCATAACTTCGCGCCAAGCCTGATCCGGGATACGTGCTGGATCCGTATCGGGAAACTCCGTCAGGCTCTCTGCTTTTTTCGCGCGAAGCGGCGCGGTTGTATCTGTCCAAGACGGAGGACGGTCTGTCGGTTGCTTTGATAGCTGGAAACGAGTACTTCTCGAACAGGGAGGATCTGCTATTGGATAAGGGACTCTTCGCCCTTATGTCCTCCGACGACGTCCTGCCGGGATGCAGTCTACTCTTTTCGGATTCTTTGGTAGCTGCAAGCCAACATTATCATTAAGTCATTTGCTTTTAAATTTCTCTTCCTTTAGTGAGTGAAAGAGTGTATTCAATCTAATTATCATAAATTCTTATTCGAAACATCATTTTTATTATAAATAAATGCAATTGGGCGCGCAATAGAATTTCTCTTATAAAGGCCGTATTTTTAAAAACCTTTTATATCGTTTAATAATTCTAGTACCAATCATGGACATACACATATAGAATAAGAATCTTTCTTTGTACATACCTATAGACATCAATTTATAAATCAGAAAATTTCTACGTTTTTCAATTACAACAAATTCACTTGTATTGTAATCCCGCGAGTGATCGAATTGTATCACGCGAATATCACTCATTATCTCACCTAAGAAGGCAGAAACCCCTTTAATCCTTTGAGTGCCAAGATAAATTTCTTCTGGCACTCAAAGAGTTAAACCGAGTGATTAACAATCTTCGAGAAACTCACTGGAATACTTAAAGCTAGATTTCTCGTCGGCCTTGTCTTTCTTGAGAAACGCGTTCCCAAACCCAGAGATCCTCTCCTTGGTAGGCACCCGGCTGGAACCGATGGACGAGTAGCTGGTCCTGCAGCTTGGCAGACTGCTCCCCGTGGAAGTCGCTCTTCCAAACGTACTAGCGGACACGCCGCCGCTGGTTCTGGATCGGTAGGCGCCACTGTCACCCTGGAAACCGTGAATCGGCTCGATCAGTTCCTCGATTGCTCGTGATCAGGGAACATTCATCCGTTGCACCGTTACTCGGACGTCGATCGTTCCAAGTCGATCCGCGCGGAGCAAGCGTGCCGGAAATGTCCGCCGCACCGCTCGAACGTTGTCACACGGAACCCAGAACTCGAAGGACAGAGAGCCTGAACTTCGTGTGCCGGTCCACGAGTGAAATTACCAATCGAGATCGGCCACCGTGGAGCGGCGCGTACGAGGTCTTTTTTCTCGCTCGGTAGATTTATGCGACGCGACTCGTATATTTATTCACCGCGATAGAATCTTACAGCGCGTTTTAGCCTGAACTTTAACATTGGTTACGTTGCCGAGAATGAAATGAGGGTATGACAATGCTACCGTGTATCGATCGGGCGAACTAAGGTGGGTGGCCAAATTGTTAGATATATGATAGAATTGGAAGTGTTTTTAGATAAGTCGAAATGTTTGTTTTATGCATTAAAATAGGGAGTACATGAGTTATTGTGTGTATTTCGTACGAGAGTTGTGGTTACTGCAATGGTAGATGATAGTAAGTTAAATTTTCCTATACATTTTTTGTATATTTATTCATTTCACATGCTCAGATTCATTAATATATATTTAAATTAAGGTATGCTTTCATACATGTTTTTAATATTACCTTTTCTTTTCTAAATCTCAGTCATTGCTTCTACAAGATTTAGTGTAACTATACAATTTCTTCAGTGGAAAAAACTTGATGTTCTTCCTTGGGAAAGTAACTTTAACCCTCATTGAAAATGCTTATATTCACATTTTGAAATGTATGTACTTGTAACATGTGTTAAACAAATACACATCTCTGTTTAGAATCTTATCTTTTATTATATGCATTCATAAATTTGTTACTTTTCAAGGAAGTACGATATTAAAAGCACACAGCAACGATTTAGAGAATCGATTGTTTCCTCAAACCGTATTTCTTATAAAATCTTACGAACAGAATTGTTAATTAATTCGTTCTTGGTAGAAGCTTTAACCAATCTACAATTTCTATCTTTAACAGCAGCACTGCCAACAGTCTAACCATATTATACATAAATCTTTAAAATTAAAGAGAGGAGTAAATCATTTCATCAATATAATCAGTCCCCTATCACCAACAATTCTAAGAAAATCTTCCTAATTAATTGAATAAGTAGAACCACCTACGTGAATAAAATTGTATAAAAATACAACTCGCCAACTCGATAATTCTACTGTTAATTTGCGTACCAATTAGTACCGAACAGGAAGACGACAAAGTATTTTAAGTGATATTGGCAACTGTTCCCCTAATTAATTTACTAAGAAAATCTAAATTTAATTCGAGCGAGCAACGACACCGAGAATATCATAGTTTAACCAGGGGGTTGTTAGTCATGTGGACGTGTAACGGAAATAATTGGTACGAAAGAGCATCGAAGTCAAGAAAGACACTGTCGCGTAACCCGGATGAGAGTAAAATGCATCATCCACGGACGGCTGGGGCCTAGAAATGATAATTCGTACAATTAACATAAGTTTGGCGAATTGCCCCAAGCTCGAAATAGACGGCCCGACCTCGCCGGGAGTAATAACCTTCCTGTTTCACTCTCATGCACTGGGTGAGACAAAATAAAAGAGCGAACACCTTCAAATTATTTTAAAAGATACGATTTTTAAAAAATTAGTTCCTTCCAGTTCTCACGTTTGTCATTTTGACATACTTGTACACTTTAGTACTTGTACACAAAGTAAATATCATAAATAATTATTTTAAATAAAAGATGCATCTTTCATTTCACCTTTTCACCAATATTGTTCGTCCATTTCACAGATATTCTTCAACACAGAAAAATCTGCATTGTCATCAAAGGGTGTCTGAACCCCTCCAATCCAAACAACCATAAAGTAGCCTTTCGGTTGAATTATTATATACTCAATTTCCACATAATATCTAAAAATCTGTCCGTTAATTCCACACTCGCCAGCATCCCCCATAAAATCCCCCTCGACCACTAAAACATTTTCGTTCTCCTAGTATTCAATGACTCACAATTTTCGCAGGAATTGAGTAATAAAGGTGACGGAATGTTTACAAAGGAAAACTTGTTTACGAAATCAGTAACCCCCTCCAGTAATCTCGCGCAGGCTACTGTTTACTTCTTATGTAGCTAGCTGGTTCGCGTTTTCTCCGTCGTTACTGTAAACAACCCCTACCCGCCGTTTATTTACCTTGCTACGAACAGGCTTACGCGGTCCGCGCCGGCCACGCAACCATAATTTCAATTTAAATTCAATTACATTCCGAAGCCCCGGACATCTCGCGCTATCGCGTTAAGACAAGATCTACCTCGGAAGTGGCGGGGTCCTCGTGCTCAAACTTTTAAAAAGCGCCGTTCGTTATTATGCTAATGCCATTCGAGGTGATAATGGAATTACAACAGACGGTCCTTAAGACCCGCTAAAGCGATTCCTTTCAACGGAAGCGCCGAAAGGGGGCCGGAAACGATAACTCCTTTCGGACTCGTTTATATCCGGCACGTTATCGCGCCTCTAACTCTTTTCATCCGCGAAACGTGGTTCCTCAATGACGACACTTGGAGACTTCGCTGCTTATATGGGAATAGAAATCATCGTCACGCGCCGCGGATTTTCTAGATGATAAACGAAGCCATTGCTGGCGACGAAAGCAATCGATCTTCCATCTACCACCTTCCATCTCCCATCGTTTGCTAGCAATCTATCTATACGTTTCGAAGAATCGGGAAAAGGTTGGGTGACGTTGCCTCAGTTAATATCCTGATTGACGATTATGGACGAGACGAGTATAAATTAATCTCGTTATAAAAAAAATTATATTATCTTATCTTATTTATTCCCATGTCAATAATTGTTTTCTTTCCAATCCAACACATGTTTTCTTGTGATATACTGATTCAATGACTACTGTTGATATCTATAACTAAATAATGGTTGTGATAGTGGTTAAATAATTATAAAATAAAATTTAGATCGGTCTTCGATATAAATATTAAAAATGAATTTCACATATCTACGTATTATATTGCACGTAAAATACCTAACCCAGGTCTAACCGTTTCATCTTCTGTGTTGGAATTTAGTAATTGACACCTGCCAACGTGTTAAAAAATTGATTCATAATATAATACGATCGCGTCACGGATTTCCTCAGAGGTAAATGAAGCTGTTCTCAGCGATAAAAGCAATCGATCTTTCATCTTCCACCTTTTATCTTTCACCCTTCATCCACCTTCTATCAATCCATCCATACATGTAAGAGAATCAGAACATGTTTGTTGTGATAATATTGAGTACCTTTCAATCCCCCATATGTATACTTTCGATACAATGGTATAATGACTGGTGTTATTATATATGACTGAAAAATGGTAAAATTGATTCTCGGCGGAAAATGAATTTGAGATTGTTGCTGTAGTAATAGTTTCTATTTCATCTTCTGTATTAGAATTAAATAACTAACATCTATCCCCAATAATGTCTCCATAATCGTTCAATCGACTACTCGCGACGAAGGATCGTTCGTCGTCATTCACACAGCCTCAGCATCTGGACCAAGAAAAGGGCAATAGTCATGTAAGATAAGCCCCTTCGAACCTTCTAACTTTTTCCTGTAAGATTTGTTTGTATCTACGATGTTTTAAGCCGGCGACTGACTTGCAACAGAACATTGTAATGTAACGCGAGCATTCGCTTAATCTTGACGGGCTTGCAAGCGACGAACGGAGCCGGTCTTGAGTTCGATTCGCGCTCGACCGTGCTCCATTGGTTTGTCGGTTTTTTGACGAACCTCTTTGATTGTCTACTTTTCACTGAACTGAGTAAGGAGCATTGAGAGAGAATTCACCCGAGAATTCGAAGCGAGCATTCGTGATTCCAAAAACGACCTTGTAATATAACGTTGGTGTCGAATCGTAAAATTCGTGCCGAACAGTTACATTACAGCGTTCTGTTGCAAGTCAGTCGCCGGCTTTAGGTATTATCGCTCTGTAACAGTTTAGCTGCCTCACCCTGTGTTTCATCCTCCAAACCAAACTCCAATTTTTATTCGACGAGAAATTCTTAATAAATTTGGAATTCGTTCCCAGATAAGAATTTCGCGCATCCCTCTATTCATTAGTTAACGTACGATCTCAGATTGCGCCTCGACGCTGAACTTCGATATTAGTTCAAGAAAGTCACCATAAACATTTTGGCAGCCGGCCTCGGACGGTCTTTAGCTAAATTCAGAAGCCAAAGGTTTGCCAAGAAGTCGAACGGGAACCTGTTACGACGTCCATTATCGGCTTTACAGTGGTTTACTGGATGATCGCGAAAGCCGGGAATTGCTAGCACGAAATTTTTGCCAGCCACGGACGAAACTTCTATCGAAGCGTTTCCCTATCCCTCTAGAAATTTGTTTCGCGTTAAAAACTGCTGAGATGCTTTGATTTCGTCCGTATTCCGTCGTTCAATATTCATCGGTACACGTAATACAGACGTTGAATATTTACGGAGCTGTTCAGCTAGGCTGTGTGTACACTACCATCCGTAAGTCATCACTTGGTAAATACGGAATAGGTTCGAATTGACTTTATGAAGAGGGGTACATTATGAAATGAATTAAATGAGTGTTTATTCTTTATGTTACAGAGAAAATGAAGCTGATAACCAAACTAGCTCGAAAATCCTATGGTGAATAGGATTTTCAAACTCGATTTTCTCGAAAACTAACCTTTAAATGAAACCATTTTATTCCATATTTTGTTCTTATTTTTTCATAAGGAATCACCTCGTGTCTGCTAGTACATGTTATTCGGCCGCTCCCTGTATAAATAGGATCGTTATTCCATGTTAATATACATTTAAGACAGTAATAGTAAATTGAAAAAATCTCCTTTTCACTGATTGACAAATACATGCCCATTAAAATAAGAAAATAAGAAATCTCACAGGACCAA